ATCAAGGAAAGTTAAAGCAACCCAGAAATTACCCTGGGTGTGATGTTGAGCCTGGGAATTCTCCACCTCTCCACCTGCATAGCCAGGCATTGCCAGTGGGGCTCAGGGATGCATGATAGAGGATGGAGAATGGCATTGGGAAGGCTCTGAAAGGAGAATTTTGATCTCTAGTCCATCATTCTCCTAGCATAAGAGCAAAGTATACCTGAGCAAAGGTAGCAATTTCTGTAACCAGACAGGAAAGGGTTTGCTCTTACACCCTATTCGCCTGTCAGCCTGAGCTGTGCAGGGTCAATGAGAGAAGGAGTTGAAAGAAACTTGCCCAGAGATGTTTCTGTGGCTGCCCCATTCCAGGAAAAGTCCAAGGCCAGGTTAGATAGGGCTCTGAGCAACCTAGTGGAAAGTGTCCCCCACGGCAGGGGGTTGGAACTGGATGGGCTTTAAGGCTTCCAACCAAAGCCGTCCCATGATTTTGTGAAACTCATGGAATACCAGGGTATGGAATTCTAGCAATTAGGAGGTTTTGTGCAAATTCTTCACTGACAGATGGGATTTCTTTCCCCCCTCAGTCTTGTTTGTGACTCTCTGCTGAGGTGTTCACACAGGTATCTTGGCTCCACACTGTTGCAGTGAGTAGTCCTGTTTAAGTCAATCCAAGTAATTGGTTATCCTCCAGAGAGGTTTGTAACCTCCAAGCAGCTGAGGGATGATAGCTGTGCTCCATTTATAAAACGGTTCTTAGCCAACACACAGACTGCACTAAGGCTGCTGCTGCCCCTTCAGTCCCCGAAGGCTGCTCTGCTCATTCCTCACCCTCTGACACTTCTCCTTCCCTGAGCGCTAGAATTCCCGTTCAGATGTACAGGAGGATGGCCTGTGGCAGAGAAAGAAGCACTGTGCTGTGCTTCCTGAGCAAGAAGGGAAGCAGTCACACCTCATTAGCTACTGAAGCACACATTTGTGCCCAGCTTCCACACTGGCATCCATCTCATCGATGGGCAGGAATGAGGCAGACCCCAGAGTGAGCAGAGGAAAATTAATTTGTGCCTTCTACCCCATCTTCTTCCCAAAAGCTGCTTTGAGCTTTGCTCTTTAATGACAGAAACTACTGGCCCTTGACTCCGCCAGGATTCGGCAAGGTTTAATAAGGTCACAGAACGGTTTGGATTGTAATGGACCTTAAAGACCACTTCATTCCATCCTCCTAGCCTGAGCAGGGACACCTTCCACCAGACCAGGTTGCTCAAGATACTTATTCCTTCCTTCCCCTGGTTGGCAGAGAGGGGATAAGGGAACACTCTCCCTAGATGACCCCTCAGCAGCAGCACTGATCCTGGCACTGCTAAAGAGACCGATTTTGGCCAGTCATGTGCAAAAAAGCTCCCACACAGCCACATTCCCCCCAACACATTAACTTAGCCTCACTCCAAACACCAGGTTCAACTCTGGCCTGAAAGGCACTTTTAAACCCAAAAGCACATGAGCACAGAACTCCTCTGCCCTGGCATTGTGTGTGAGGCAGGTTCAGGGCCTGGGTGAAAGATTTGACTACACCTGAAGTTGAAGCAGGATGCTCTCTGCAGCACTGGACCTGCTTATCTCTGCCACTACGAAAATCTGCGTGACCCTGTCTAGAATCTATTCAATATTTTCTTCCTTTGCCTTCTGCATATTACGTAAGTGGGGAGCCCCTTGGAGGCAGAAAAGAGGGGCTGTGGTGGCAGCTGCTGCTCCCTAGGAGGGAAAGAAAAGGGAGCAGTGAGTGGAAAGGGACTGTCACAACCAGAGTGGCTTTGCTGCAAGTAAAGGCTCTCCAGCTGGGTCTGCGTGGGAGGGAGCAGAGATTCTGCCAGCAAGCAGAAAGGTGGAGGATTTGTCGTGATGTGGTTATGTTGGTTTTTTTTAAACACGAGCTAGTTTTATTTTTCCTGTGGCCCCTTCCTTCTGCAGAGCTCCCGAAGTTGAGTTCACAGCTCTTGAGACAGAGGTTGGGCAGACAGGGGTTGCATCAACAACTGAGCATTTTAAACCAAGAGCAAAGAATCCAACCAAAAGTATCCCCTCTATATCACCAACAAAACATTTTTGGTTATTATCAGATTACTCATCTTACAACAGCTCTTGTGTTGTATCCACAGAGCCAAGTGTGTGTGGGTCCATGCATGAGACACAGCAAAATGACAGCTGAGATCCTTTGAAAGTTGTCAAAATCCATCAGGATTTCAAAACGATGTTTTGGGGTGAAAGAATAATAAAAATACCCCTAACAAGTTGAACCCTTTGTGCTTCTTCCCACCGTCAGTTTGTCAGCACTCTGAACAGGGTGAGAACAGCTCTCTCAGAGCACATAATTAATATTTTCTGCCTGCATCTGCTGTACCCAGGCAAAAACTGCTTCCAGCCCTGCCCCAGCCTCACATCTCCCAGTACAGTTAATGTGCTGAGAGGCGCTGTTTTGCCCTAGTAATCTTGTTTACACGTTTCCTCTGCATTTTATTTTCTGTAATCTCATTTGCCAGCCTGAAAAACAAAACAGAATGAGCTACTAAGAACAAAAAAGAAAAGGCAAGAGGCTTGCAGGAATGCCGCTGCTCATCTCACATAGGCAGGAATGTGCTTTTCCACCGCTGCCACGTGAGGAATGGCACCTCTGTGCTCGGTGTTCCTGGGTCCTGCCTGAATTCCCGAGTGGGCAGCACAAAGTGCAGGGATTTGCAGGCAGTTAATTCAGATAATTGCATTTTCCTGCTGCCCTTGGAACGGAAACACCGGAGCTCTGGGGGCAGAGGATTCCACGTGCGCTCGACTGCTGTATGTAGTGCACCAAATGCCTGCAGCTGCCCTCCCCTAGTCCCATCTGTTGGAGATTGATGTTGATTTTGCTCATCTTGCCTCCTGAAAAGCCAGCAATAATAATGAATGAGCTCGGCATTTGGCAGAGTGTTGGCAGCCGAATCAGGCTGATGGCAGGCACATGCTCTGCAAGGTTCTTTTGCTGCAAACATGCTCACAAGGGGATGGGACTGAATCCTGGGATTAAGAATCCGGTCCTAGACAGGTTTTTGCACCACCTTCACCTTGGTGGATTTCAGTCCATCACTCTTATTATCATTAGGTGGCTTCTGTTGTGTTTACCTTGGATCTTTTTTCTTGTAAATACAGGCACAAAGCTCAAGCAAAGAGCTAGGTGCTGGTTAAGGACAGTCAACTTCTAAGCAAAATCTCCTTTTCAGGTTGAAGATATTTTTATCTAAATTTAATCTTTTATTGCAAATTAAAAGCTGATAAATGGAATAAAAATTATTTGATTATCCTAGTCTGAAACTCAAGCTTATTAAACCATTGACTTGCTTCCTATGCTCTAATAATGACAAGGAGAAGCTGAAAAGAAATTAATGAAGATGCTTTTGGCAAAACAGCAGCAGTAGCTCACCTAAAGAAGATGCCTTATTAATAGAAACCTTAATTAGAAGCCAGCCCCAGCTGTTTGTTTACAGGAACAAATCTTGTTTCTGATTGGAGATGTCTAGATGCCCCCAGGATGTAAGAGGAATCAGGAGCTGTCATTCTTGTGGACATGAGAAAATAGAGCTCCACTCAGTTCAGTGATGGAACTGTAGGTAGGTCAGAGAAGCCACCTGTCCCCATCACCACTGTCACCACTCACAATCCTCAGGCTTCTCCCTGGAGGTCCTATTGCCCGTTCCCTGTGTTAAATAGCCCATAGCTTGAGTTGGTTCAGCCTTTGTTCTATTTAAATGGGACATTTTGCAATTTGTATTATTTAAAATCCTCAACGGAGGCTTGGCATACAGCATTAAACAGATAAGGACCAGAAATGTCCTTCTCTCTTTGCTTTGTAAACAGTATTTGATGGAGTCTTACTTGCAGCAAGGACATGTTCCCAACACACTGAAAATGACAGAAAATTTCCCACTGACTTCACTAAACCTTTGAGACCCAAAGGAATATTACAGCAATAAAAAGCCAGCATTGTACAATGGCCTCAAGTTTCTACTGGCACTGAATGTCTTTTCCAAAGAAAAAGCCAAAAAAAGCTGAATTTCCCCAAAGCAGGAGAGGCACTGAATGGTTTCATGCCCTTGCTCTGAGGGACTTTAATGCCCATGAATGCTCAGAGCACTCAGAATTTTGATAAGTTGACTCTACAATCAAAGCCTGTTTCCAGACTCAGAAATCTCATTAAAGCCTCAGTCCTGCATGCATTTGTGCATCTGTTCATGTCAGTCAAGACTATGCCTCAGCACAGAACTGAGCACCTCACTGGATCTATCCAGCAAAAGAAAATCAGGGGAGTTGCAAGGAATGGGAAGATCCGCATGACAAGGATGAAGTTCTCTAGTTAAAGGCCTAAGGCTTCCATCAGCCCACAGATCTCCTAGGTCATGGTACTCTTTTCCTGAGTAGAGAGGGTTACAAAAAAACCCAACCAAATTCCTTTAAAAAGTTTGTGATTCACAGAAACAAGCTGGATTTAAATGCAGGTAAACTCTGAGGCATTCAGTGAGCAAAACCAGAAGAGCTCTACTAATGTCAAGGAAATGAGGCTGGTTCATGCCAGCTGAGAATCTGCCTAAAGGACTCTCACAAGGCAGGGCCAGGTCCTACAGCATCCAGTTCCAAGAGCTGCACAGGGAAGTACTGTCCTCACACAAATTCCTGGTGAAATGGGTGACACTCCACTGATTCATTAGTTCTAAATTTAGCCAGGGATGAGAACTGAAATAAAGAACATAAACCTTTATGGAGCAGGAAAATCTACCTTTCAAGTCCAAAAAGACTTATGAAGAATTATTCCTGAGCTGAGCTTACCACTTGCTGGTAATTTTTCACCGTCTCAAATCCCACATCAGAAGAATTTCAGGCTGTGACAGACACATATAGACATAGAAATAGATATAAATATAGATTAGCACATTTAAAATTATCAGTCATTATTATTCAGAAACTGTTATCACTGTCATGCACACAGGACATGGTTCTGAAGAATGGGGACATTATTTTATTGAGTTAGAGAGATGGGGAACAGGCATAAAGAATACAGTTAATGAACATATTTGAAATAGCAATATAAACATAAACAGAAAAATGTTCAAGTCAAAGTCACATGAAAAATTAGACTAATCTTCAGATGCATTCTAGACTTGTACGTACAGCATTTTTATGGTAAAAGTAGAAATACAAACTCCAGAGATGCAGCACATCTCAAGAATACAAAATAAATAAAGACAAGCGCCAATAAAAGAAAGAGAACAAACACTTGAATCTTCTTCCAGAATTATGAGAAAGTTTGATATGTAAGAAGCAGGGGATAAGATGCCCAATCTATGACAAGAACTCAATTTATTTCCAAACAAAAGCTCAAATAATAAAGTCTTGTGCCTGAGAGTGAGCCCTAAAGCATTTAAACTTTTCTCACTCCTGTTGTGAAGCTGAACTATTCTTCCATGAGAGAAACCTTGGAGCAGACCAGTGTTTCAGCAATCCCAGTGAAGGAATCCAATTCTGGGGATGATGGGGACATCGCAGTTATTTATCCAGAAGGAAGTTTTTCAGCAGCTTCTAACCCAAGATGACTTGAGAACAAGGAATAGGCTGGTTTGGTTTCAGACTCTGCAGCAGTGTCTTCCTAATGGTCAGTGTCTGCAGGAGGAAGGCAATCAGGACAGTGTCATGCAAAAAGCTGCATTAATTAAGGAGGAAAAACCATTAGGCTCTACAGTGGACACAAAATTATGGCTTAGAACAAAGTGGAAGGTGTCCTTTCTCGTGGTGGGGGGTAGGAACTAGAGGATCTTTAAGGTCCTTTCCTACCCAGGCCATTCGATGATTCTCTGATTCTCTGAAAGATTCACCATTATTTCACTTCCCTTTCAAGAGTGTTACAATTAATTGAGTGACACTGAGCACCAGCAACAGTTTTCCTGCTGGAAGTTTCTCCTTCATCAATTTGTTTGCATAACCAAATATCCTAGAGACAAAAAAAAAAAAAACAGCCCTGTTTCCACTCCCACAATCCTTGCAAATTAGATTTTTATGGTAGATTTTTCCTCTCCAGAAAAATAGGTCAGTTCCCCTGCAGTAAGGCACACAATCTAAGGCCCATGTTTCTGCTTGGAATGAGCACACATGGAATGCAAGTGCCCCTTGAAGCTGGGCATCTGCACATGCCACCCTCTCCTTTAACTGGTCAAGTAACTATTTGCAGATTTCCCCTGTCTTCAGAGCTAAAGCAAGGCCTAAATACTTAAGCCTTTTTCTACTTCCAATCTCCCTCTCTGAAAATATGGACCATAAATATCCTCTCCCAGGAGATTAGTCCTGAAACCTTATTGGGCTTAAAGTTACATTTGAACAATGTCCTAATAAAACCAAATAGTAAATAAAGTGTGCTCCAAGGACATCAAATAATGATTACAATGACTTCCATTTTTGTACAACTTCCAAAATAAATCTTTCTTTCTTTATGCATTGGAAAATAAAAAAGACTTGGTATGCGGGAATAAGTTAAATAGATGGAAATATAAAAGTAAAAAATAACAGGAGATTGCTTAAGAAGAATATTTAAAACCAGAAAAGTTATTCCCAAGCAGTTTCCCAGGCAGCTTCTGTAGGACAAAATAGAAGAGAAAGAAGCAGAAACAAAGGGATTTTTCACCTCAGTGGGATGAAAGAGGTTGGTTTCAATGGGGTCTGAAAGCGAGCAAGGAGTACTGTGGCCATAACTGCACACCTGAACCAAATGATTTTACACATACACACAACCCCCCTTAAATCCATCATAATTGAACAGTGCCTTCTTTCAGCGTGTGTGCAAATGCTTTGCTTCATAAAGCAGCCCTGAAAGGGCAAAAGGAGAGAAAGCCCTACAAATATTGGTCATTCACCCTGTGGGTCCTGCAGCGTGGGCACCACACAGCCACATCCCTGCCTGTCTCAGAAGGCTGTTCCCCAGTTTTGGTAAAATTTTAGTCCTGAAAGTGAACTTAAGCCCAAAGGTGACATACATGAAAAAAAAAAAAAAGAAACAACAAAAAAACAGCAAAATTAAATCATTTGGAAAGGTTTTGAAGTGAATCTGTGTGAAATGAAATAAACAGCTCCCCCACTCTGAAATACCAAAAGCAGTTTCTGTCAGAAGAGCTCCCCACATGTTAATCTGCAGTGAAGCCTCAGTGCCAGAGTTGGCACCCTTTGAAGTTAAAGGAAAAGCTCCTCCTGTCTTTATGGTGCCCAGATTCCTGGCTGGATTGAAAAATATCAGAGGTTTCCTAGGCTCCCAAGAGCTCTCTGAAGATCACTGTCCAGTGATTAGAGGAAATGTCAAGGGGACTGGGTTAGAAACCCACAGCCTCACAGTGGCTGAGCTGGAAATGCTCCCTCGAAGGGATCCTGATTTGGTTGTGAATGATCTTGGAACCAGGCTTATCAAATCTGATGGCAGATTTGAGTAGAAAAAGAGAGATTCACATCTCAAAATAAAATACTTGGTGCTTTCTTTTTTAAATTTTATTTTACCAATTCTACTTTTCTTCCTTTTTTCCTCCTACTGATTTATGTTAGCTAGAATCAAACTTGAGTATTATGTGGGTTTTTCATGGTATTTTCATAATCTTTTCCTTTCTTTTCTCCTTTTGAAGAAAGAAGGAGAGGAAAAAAAAAGGTTGGAAAATGAAATGGACTTCAGTCATTTAAATTTTGAATAAATAATTTTTTTCAGCTGATGTCAAACTAACTGAAATTCAAATTTAATTAACTGAAATTTACATTTCCATGTAAACATGAAAAATATTAATGTAGCGTTTTGACACTCTTTGATTACGTATTTTCTACAGCAGGAGTGTCGTGATTAAGAATTTTCAGCCAACTTGAGGGCATGAGTATTAGGAGTCCCTGCAATCTGGCATCCTCAGCCATAATCTTTCTGAGTAGCACAGAGGGATCTGTTTTGAGCAGCAGAGCATCTACACTACAGCAGAGTGCTGCCTGTAGTACAAGTGAGGATAACACAGGGCAGGAGATTAATATTCTGCATCACACTGGGCTCTGTTATTTTTATCCCACTATTTCCTTCACTCACCATCTCATGACTCACACCCTCCCCACACTGGAATTTCTGCCTCAGTCTCGTGGCTCACTGGTGTCTTAGGGAAGCCGTGGAGAGCTGTCTGGAGAACATCACTACTGCTTGAGATCCAGGTCACTCTGGAAAACACAGAGAGGCAGCAGAATTTACTGGTTTATCACACACCTCCTCTGGCTGTTGCAAACTGTCTTCAGCACTTGTAAGGGTTGCAGTTCTTCCTTGTTTTTACAGCCTTAGTGACATGTCTGGATGCAAGTCCCAGTTCCAGACAATCTCATGGATAGCTGGCACTGCACCAGCCTTTAGTAAAAGTACAGGGCTCAACCTGTGAGGGGGAAAAAGGCTCTTGAGAGACAGGTGAATGTAATTCAAGATGAATAAAAGAGCTGCCCCTTACGTGTTTCTTGGTTATCACCTCAGGGATATGGTCCTCGATGCCACACTAGCAGGGTTGATGCTTCCTGAGGCCAAACCACAATTCCCTGATGTGGGATGGGAAGGCCAGGTCACAGGAGGAACTGGATGTTGAAATCCTTACTAGTTGCACATACAGCTATGGTGATCCCAAATGCAGAATATCAAAACCCCAGTACGGTCTCCTGCTGTAGAATCCTGCACTCGCACTTCCCAGGGGATTCAGTTCCCCAAGTGCCTGGACTCTGGCTTCTCCTTAAATCCAGAAGTAACACGGAGCTTGCCAGTTAGAAACCTAAATTCTACATCCTCCCAGAAATTAAGCTGATCAGAGCAAGCATAATTATTTTCTCTTACCTCTTCATGGAGTGATGACAGCTCCTGCTCAAGAATCCAAATTCCCTCCTTTTCCTCTATCTGAACTTCCATCTCCATCTTCCTGAGGGCATTTCCAAACCAGTCAGAAGACAACAGCACAGAACGTTTGCTCTTTATGTGAACAAAGATATATTCTCTAGGCTAGAGGGAGTACTTCAAGCAGCAACTGGACACCATATCATTCTTCAAAAAAATATTCATACTAGAAAATAACAGATAAATCTCAATCTACATGTTTCCTCCTCTTTTGCCCTGCCAGTTTCAAAAAATGAACTTTATTGAAAGGTGCCAAAGAAGCCTTGTCCACAGAATGTTTACCAAAAAAAGGGCATTTATTTGGGGAAAAGGGAATAAAATCCTAACTCAGCTGTGGAAATTCTACTCAGTAGCAAGATTCCCCTCATACAGGTACTGAAGCAATGGGCTCTCCAGTACCTTTGAGTGTAGCTAGCCTAAGTAATGCCCTTTTTTGCTGAGAAGGTAGGTAGGTGTCAGCTTGGTTCTAGAGTCAGTTTAGCAGAAGGATCACTTGTGATCCACAGTGTTATTCCAGCTTTCCCAGGAAAAGGTAGCAAAAGATGTCAAAGAACCCTTTCTCACAAGCTTTTAAATCCCCTGGCCTCCTGCTTTTTCTTTTTGGTCCCATCTGGCTCTCCAGGTAACACTGGAAAACATAAAGTATGTTTTATTTCTGTGGATGTTTTGTTCTCCAGATTTGTCCCAGGGCAAACTTCCTACCCCCTCACATCAACTCAAGTCCTTCACATGGACTCTTGATGATGACTCAGAACAGCCAATGAGCCTTTGTTGGTGACACAGCCTCATCCAGCAGAGACTTTGCTGCTCAGAACCCAAACACCAGCTCAAGGCACCCATCACATGCTCTGCCCTCTCCTCTTGTCTCTCCCCAGCGTAACTGGCTGCCTGGAGGGGGACAGATGAGCGTGATGGAGCAGGAAGGATGACAGCTTGCACACCCACACCACATCCAAATGCCAGGTCTCCCTCGAATCCAAAGGGCAGAAGCTTCCCTCAGTCCACCCTCAGTCTAGAAATGTGACCTCAACACAACAGTCATGCCCTTCCTCTCAGACAATTCTTCCAGCTGGAGGATGATCAATGTGAGAGCCCCAGGAGAGGCTGAGGAGGATGTGATTACTGACCTGAAATGAAGCTTGTGCACACTGCAGGAGAAGCTTCCACTAAAATCTCTTCCACTGGAACACTGGAATCAGCACCTCAGGACAACAAATGCTGCTGCAGTTTGAAAGATGATTACAAAAAAAAAAAAAAAAAAAAAAAACTAAAGGGAATTGGAGCAGCCAGAGAAAATCTTGTTAATGCAGCAGTGTCCTGCTGTGAGCTTTCTGTTTAACAGAGAGGCTCCTTGATACTAAAGTTTTTGCTGTCAAACACCTGTCAGCAGTCCTTTAGAGTAAGGTTTGTCCTGAGCTGCAATCTCCTGTCCTGAACCTGTCTTTGTCTGCAGCTGTTCTAAGCGGACTCTATGAATCCAGAGGAACCCTTTCCATATCTTACTTCTCAGCCTCTGTCTTGTCACCTGAGGTGCATGGAAGGTCAGGAAAGGACATAAAAATATCTCAAAGAGGATGTCAAGAGCACGGTACCAGGCTCTCTTCAGTGGTGCTCAATGACAGGACAGGGAGCAATGGCCATGAACTAAACACAAGTTCCATCTCAGCACAAGGAAGAATTTCTTTCCACTGAGGGTGGCAGAGCACTGGAACAGCTGCCCAGGAAGGGCCTGGAGTTCCCCCTCTGGAGACATTCCCAACCTGCCTGGATGTGTTCCTGTGTCACCTGCTCTGGGTGACCCCGCCTGGGCAGGGGGGTTGGACTGGATGAGCTCCAGAGGTCCCTTCCAGCCCTGAGGATTCCATGAAAGCCGTCACTCAGAACAGTCAGGAAATGACTTGCAAAGAGCAGCTTTTCAGTCATGTGGAGCTGGTCTCTGCACTTCCTTCCAGTCTTTTCCAAACACAAGGAAAAGAATATGCAGGGACACCTTTGCCAAATGGAATAGAGCAAAGCAAGGGACTTTCTCCATTAACTGTTTTTTTTTCTGGAGGATGTTAGGTGCTTGGAAGATACATTTTTCATGGAAACATTTCTGATTCAATCCCGAGTTCTCTGGCAAAGGTTTCCTCAATCATATGGGAGATGAACTCTTTGCCACCTCTCACAGATGGTAACCTGCAGTTCCTACAAGCTAGAGCAGGGTGGTTCATTTTAAACAAGATTTTTAATATTCCAGGAAAAAAAATAAAACTAGTGTGATTTCCTTCTAATGATTCAGAAGAAGGAGTTGCAATCCAGGGGGTAAACTAACTACTAAAATGCATATAATCACTATGATTTCCAGAGAGCAATGATCAAAATTGCCTCACATCTATACACTGCATTCCTGGAACTAAATCTTCATGGCAAATGAATGCCTACCATTGGATAGAAATGTCATCTGGCACTGAAAACAACAAAGAAGGATGGTAGTTGCTCACTCAGAGCATCACTGAAAAGCACTTAAAATTATTGATGTAAGATTAAAGCCTTAAAAATAAACCCACATCATTAGAGAGCAGGAATTTTGACTTGAACGCAACGTGTCACCAGTTTCAAGACAAGTATAGCTCTTTATTTAGAACAAGAATCAATGGGAAAGAAATCTGAAAAACCCAAATATCACTACTCGATATTTTGTCATAAGAAACGTGTGAGATATTTCTCCATCTCACAAAGAGTTTCTGTCCTAAGAGGAAAGGTTCACAGTTTGCTTTTTCAAGAAACTACAAATTTTGTACTTTCTAGTATTAACTGATTTATGCAAATTTTATACTTATCCTGTCCATAAATTAATGAGTTGCCAATCTTGCTGTATTTTAAGTCAGATCAACACCAGATGGAGAGCAGACTTGCTTAATAAGGGGTTTTATCAAAAGAGTAATTAAGCAAATATACATCTGAAATCCAGTGTCAATACTGACAAGTCCAACAAACTTTCCTAAGGAACTACCTGATTCTGTGGTGGCTGGATTCAGTTTTAAGTTCTTGGCAGAGATCAGAGTATCCTACACTTGAACTGTGCTATCCAAAATGTCTAAACTGAGCCCTGAGCTCAGTTCTGACCCCTGTGAAAAAGAAAAAATGAGAGACCACCAACCAAGTGTCTTCTACTGTGTCAGGATTGAGTTTTTGAGTAAGATATTGGCAAATTCCTAAAGTGCACCCTTGGCTGCCATGGCAAGGCCTATATTAACTCCTTCACCTCCAGCTTAATTAGACCAGCCTTGGTATGTTCAGCAGTATCAGAGCGATCTTTCTGTGGCATTGCCTTTCCTCTGTTCCTGCTCCCACACAGGCTGTGTGAGCACAGACTTTTGCTCTGTGAACTGGGAATGTAGACCAGGAGCACCTTCCCATCACAAAAACACAGGCTTTATTTAAACAACAGCAAATCCCCTCATGAAATGCAGCACGGGGCCAGGTTTGCCTGTTATAAAGGCAAATCTAGGCTGGCACAAGGCAGTGTTGAGTCTGACAGTGTGTGACTGGCACAGGTGCTGCTTGTGGGAGGTGTTGCTGTGACTCATGGAGGCTGGCAGAACTAACAGGGCAGCGTGGTGAGACAGCCTTGTTAATGATTGTGGTGCCTGTAGGAAGAACCAGGCCATTCACAAACTGAAAAGGGACAAAAGATTTTTCAGGAAAGTGCATGGGAGCAGCCACAGCTTCTCTGGGCAACTGTGCCAGGGCCTCACCATCCCCACAGGCAACAATTTCTTCCTAACAGCCAATCTAAACCTGCTCTCTGTCAGTGTGAAGCCATTTCCCCTTGTTCTGACACTTCATTTGTAGAAAATTTCTCTCCATCTTTGCCCCTTCAGGTACTGGAAGGGATTTGTTCCTGTGAAGCCTGCAACTGCTTCAAGAAAGGCTGAATGTCCCCTCTCAGGGACACACCTGGTCTAATCATGGTAGAAGACCAGGCAAGGCTACCTGGTGCTTGTGTTCCACTGAATATTTTAATTTTCTTTGGAAAGATAGAAATGAGACAGAATAGTCTAACCGTGATCAATTAATTTATGGTAGTTAGGATAAAAGGAATGTTGAGATTCTTCAGAGAGAGGAAAAAGCTGGGTGAACATGCAGCAAAATGGCCAGTTAAATTTGCAGCTGCATAACGTGTAAGAAAAAGACCTCACATGTATCATAGAGATCTAAATTTTTGTCTGAGTTCTGAAAAAACACATTCTGGGTATTTATAGTGATGCTGGTTAAAAAGAAGTCAGCCCAAATTTAAATTTGAATCAGGCTAAAACTTAACCAACAGTGAATATTCAAGAGACCTGGCTGCCACCACTTAGAATTTAGAGTCAGTGCTCTAAATTCCACCTAGGAGAGGTCACCAGTGAAGAGTTTCACTACCTGCAAAGTGAAGGCTTGAGTTCACTACACAGGGTGCAGTCACAGCTGTAATGGTGACAGGATGCATGAGAAAAAGAGAGTGAAAGTGAAAATATCATCTTTACAGTAATGTGTGGATCAGCACATTTTAGGATCCAGCTTTAGGTGCTGGAGCTTAAAGCTGGCTAAGAAGCCTTACAGGAGATGTGTGAATGATCCACAGCAAAAAATTTAAAAGCAGGAAAAGGAATTACTTTCTAACAAAAGATGTAATTAGGCTACAGAACTTAGTGACACCGGTAATCAGAGAAGCCAAAAATTGAACTGGATTCCAAAGGGCGAAGACACTGAAGGAAATATCCAGACTATAAATTACAAAAAATAAAAACATGGAATAGATTGCTATTCCAGCTATCTTTTCAAATAGTAAGCACTAATTTGGCATGCTGTGAATCTACAAAAGGTCTCTACATATCAGTTCAGCACTTGCAACCCTTTCTTTAAGCAAAGTACAAAAGTGCCATTTGCCTAGAATTGTTTCCACCGTCTCCAGCTCCATTGTTCCCTGTTTAAGCATTATGGACTGACAGTGATACCCAGCCTTATATAAGAGACCACAGAAACAGACTGATTCATAATTCAGGCTCCAAGCTGACAGTGGGGAATAACTGCCTCATCCTGATCCTTTTCAAAAGAGATTTTTGCCACCAGTTCAAAAACAGGGCTCAGACAAACCCCTGCTGCATTCAGCCAGCAGTGGGAAAGTTTACCAAAATCAGCACCAGTGCTATTTCATCCTCTCTCTGTCTGCTGAAGCCAGTTTGCAAAACATCCATTCAATTCTACAGCAGATTAGGTCTTCAGAGTCGAAACACAATTTGAATCAAGTAAGGGTGGAGTGGGCATCTCTCTGGCCCAAACTCCAGTCACAGAATCACAGAATGGTTTGGGTTGGTAAAGATCATACAGTTCCAACTCCCTACCATGGGCAGGGACTCCTTCCACTAGCCCAGGTTGCTCCAAACCCCTCTCATCCTGGCCTTGAACACTTCCAGGGATGGGGCAGCCACAGCTTCTTCTCTGGGAAACCTGTGCCAGGGCCTCACCATCTTCACAGGGAACAATTTCTTCCCAATATCCAATCTAATCCGCTCTCTGTGTGAACCCATTGCCCCTTTTCCTGTCACTCCAGGCCTTGTCAAGAGTCTCTCTCCATCTTTCCTGTGGGCTCCCTTCAGGCACTGCAAGGCCACAATGAGGTGACCCCAAAGCCTTCTCTTCTCCAGGCTGAACAACCCCAATTTTCTCAGCCTTTTTGTATGGATATTTATCATCCACCCACTGGATTGATCCCAGGGGTTAGTGCTCTGCAGCTAAGAATGGTAAAAGTTTTTTCATCCCTTCTAGAATTAAGTTATTCTTCATTCAATGCCTATGACATTTGGTAACAGCTACGAAACGAGTGGTGTTGAGCAGCACAGGTCACTGTCAATGCCACCTGTACTTCACCATGGCTGATACCGATGGCCCTCAACACTCACAGGTGATAAAAAGAATGCAGCACATCAAAAAAAAATGTTGTTCAACACCTTGTTGACGTGTTCCCTTGTGTGGACAACAAATTATGGAGATGGCATGTTGGCATGTCTGTTTGCAATGACTTCAGTGTCCTCCCTGACTTCTGAGATGACTTTTAAATATGGGGACTGTCTACCAAGGAAAAAGCCATGTTTGCCCTGGTTAGTCCCTGCACAGCAATTCTTTAAAATAATAGAGATTAAATTTGTTTTGGTATTCCAAAGTGGACTAAGCTACACATAAGTCAGGTCTACCCT